TCCAAAGAATTTTTCTGGATTGAATTTTTTCTGAATCAATGTTGAGGGACCTTAGACATTATGAAAATATTAGAAGTCCTTTATGCTATAAAATCTTAATACTAAGGACCTTAAAAAAAATCACCTAATAATTAATTTTAAAATTAAAATTAAATAGTAAAAAAATAAAATTAATAAAATTTTAACTATTTATTATCACAATTTCGCTAATGGTTTAAGTTCTAAATAACAATAACATGAATCATGATGCAATTAGTAAAAATTAAACAAAAATTATGATTAATTATAAAATTGCACTTTTTAATTTTCATTTTTAGGAACAAAAACTACACCTATGATAAAATACAAATACATTATTATTTTCTAAGGGTTCATAATTTTGGGAAACTCAATAATTATTATTATTATTTTTTACTAATTACATTTTTTTAGTTTGCCATATAATAGTAATAATATATATATATATATATATATTTTGTGAAACTCAATCTAGCAAAATTTGTTTAAATCAAAAAATTGAATAACAAAATAAAAATGACAAACAATAAACTACTAGTGACCCTTATTCTCTTATCTTTCGTGAAATTAGCATTTACATACCAAGTATAACTTTTAGATTTTTTTTACAATCGCTAGTTTTGGCATTCATATTGGGCCTTTTTTTTTTTACTCTTCTCTCTCATTCATTTTTGCTTAACGGATATTTATAGCACGGGTGTAATTTTTTTAAATTATTTTATAAACCATAATACCCATGCTATGCATATGTTTAAATAAATAATTAAAAATTAATTTTTAAATTAAATAATATTATAAAAATTATTTATAAGAAATAAATAAACTATGGTAGAATGTATTTTTAAAAAAGTGCAATAAAATTACAGCAAGTATATTTACAACGAAATATAAATATATTTTGTCTCATAAGTTTTGCAATTTAGTTTATTTTATGTCAGAGATAGCCCAATCATATAATAAATTATATTTGTCATTTTATTAACTAGCCATTGTTTATTTTGTAAAAGTTTAAAATTATGTCTACTTAGGTATAAAATTATAGTTTTTCGTCATAATTCACAAATACAAAAAAATAAGAATTGACTTGACGATTTATAATTGTACTAGACAATAAGAGTAACATAATCTAATTGACTCAATATTTATCTCAACTTAGTCGTGAAACCTATTCATCAAAGAATTGTCTTAATCTATGCCTAAGTATGAACCACTTAAACTCATTTATTTATTAAATTAGTGAATAAACATATGTTAGTATTTTGTATTATAAAATAAGAAATATGTACATGGTTATGCATAGTTATTAAAAAAAAAAAATTGATAAAATTTTATATTTATATTTAAAATTATTACATGAATAGTTAAGTGTATTTATGTGTGAAAAAAAACTATCCAAGGTCAACCTAAATATGTGTATTGTTCTAAACATGCTTTGGATTTGATTTAAAATATTGATTGGTCAATTAATAGAAATAGTTGATAATAATCAATTAAAATTTTATATTTAAATTATATTATAATTTCTTAGGTTTTGAATAGTATGGACTAATTTGAGGGATAATACTTGCATTAAATATAAAAAATAGTTTAGAAGTTAGATTAAGATCAATTTTTATTCCAACAATTAAATTTTTTAAGAATTATATTCATTAATTCATGATCACTTAACCCACTTATTTTTTTGTTGGTAAATATATTATGGTTATTTTTTTTATAATTGGCTCTGCTATCCCATCTGTCAGCATAGACCATGCCATTCATCACCTAACCTCAACTGCCCGTCATCACAGCTGGAGCTCGGCAGCCGAGCTGCCCTATCCGTAGTCGCGCCATGCCGTGCTCCACACCCTAGCACTTTCCTGGCAAAGTATATATAGGGAGGACCGGGCTAGGCGGCATCTCGGCAAAGCTTAACCCGGGCTCCTCCTTTGGTTGGCCTCCTCGCCGGTCAATCAACTACCTCGGCTGACCGCGCCTTTCCGAGCGCCGGCCTCTCGGTCTGTCTGGTCTCGACAATCCTCGGACCGAGCATCCCGGTCTGACCGGTCGCCTCCTGGCCGAGCACCTTCTGCACGGTCCGCGGCAGCACACAGTCCAAACTCTGCCCGGCCCAAGTTCTGGTAGCCCAACTCCGGGTGAACAGTCGATCATTTCGGCCCAATGCTTTGCTGGGCCCTCAACTTGTTCGGTCTACACCTCGGCCCAGCACCGGAGCATAAATCACCCTCTCAATTACGTTTACATATGAAAGAATTATTTAAGATCAGATTAACCTAATTTATAAATTTTATTTTTAGCATAGAACTTGATCAAAAAAGTGAAACCTCAAAATAAGTCATAATTTTCAATTTAAATTTTATTAAATTTTTATTTAATACAAATTTTCACGTAAAGTGTTTAATATTTTAAAAATAATTAATTATTTGTGAAATGAAGTTACCATTATAAAAAACACTAAAAAATTTGTCTTTTAGTACGTAGTGTGAAAATCCATTAATTAAAGAATTAAATTGATGATATATATATATATTTTGAAAACAAAATCAATGAATGAGGCTAATAGTAAGGGTACTTATAATCATACACACTTAATTTCTTGTCACACCAATTACATGTATTAAAAAATTTATAATTTAGGCATAAATATTCGTACATACACTACAATAAAAAGTAGTTTTAGCGACCAAAAATGTAAATTTCGTCGCTGAAAGTAGGACAATTGGCGACTAAAATTGAATTAGTAGCCAAAAGTCTTGGCGACTAAAACAGTTTAGTAGCCAAATGTATACTTATTGGCGACTAAAAATCAGTTTAGTTGCTGATTATATGGGTTTTAGCGACTAAAACAATTTTAGTAGTCAAAAGTGAAGGTTTTTGGCGACTAAAAGAAATTAGTAGCCAGAAGCTAGGTTTTGGCGACAAAAAAATGGTTTGGTCGCCGATTGTAGGTGTTTTACCAACAAAAAAAAAATTTGTAGTCAAAAGTAAAGGTTTTTGGCTACTAAAAAAAATTTAGTAGCTAAAAGTGGACAATTGGCGACTAAAATTGAGTTTAGTCGGCAAAACTGGAGGCTTTGGCGACTAAAAATCAGTTTAGTCGCCGAAAGTGGTTATTTTTAGGCAGAAATTAATTTTTTTAGCGACTAAATTATTGGTAGTAGCCAAAACTAAGGTTTTTGGCGACTAAAAAAAAATTTAGTCGCCAAAAGTGGCTCTTTTTTTTTTTTAAAAAATAAATAATTTATTTTTTAAATAAATTATATTGAATAAAAATAATTATGTTTATATATATAGTTTAATATTAATACGGGTCAATATACTATATAAATAATATATTTTGCATATATATTTATGTGGTGTTATTGTGGCATAGTGGAGAGAGTGTGTTGGTGGAGGTTTAGCATGTGGAAGGTTGGTGGTTCAAAACTTGGCAAAAGCAAAGGGTAATTTTATTTTTTATTTTTATTTTTATTTTTTTTTTCTGATGTAAGCTTTTGGCGACTAAAACGGGTGGTCGCCAAAAGCTTCAGTATTGGCGACAAAAAAAATAGTCGGCAAATGTATAAATTAAAAAAAAATAATTCACTATTGGCGACAAAAAATTTGGTCACCAAATGTATAATTTAAAAAATATAAATGAGCTTTGGCGACGAAAATTTTAGTCGCTACAGACTTGGATTTTGGGCGACTAAAAGTTTGTTAGTCGCCAATACCTTTCGCGACAGTTTTCCAGCGACCAAGCCGGAGACTAAAACATTTAGTCGGAGAAACTTAAAACCCGACTTTTGGCGACTAAAAATTCACTTTTGGCGACTAAAAATTTAGTCGCCAAATGTGTTTTTTCTTGTAGTGATATAAGTGTACAAAACAAATCAAAAAAGGAAAAAAAAAAGTGTACAAAAGGAATTAAATGTATGTAATTAAATCAAAATATTTTGACGGTTCCTAATTTTTATCATGAATTTTAAAATTTTGAGAGTAGTTATATATAGTATGAATAATATAGTAATATAGTAAGAAACAAATTTTAATTTTTTTAAAGGAAATAAAAATCAGTGGGAGAGGAGGTTAGAAAGATATGAAATATTTTTTTATCTTTTATTTTGAAAATTATAAATTATGAAATTATTAATATTTTGAAAACTATAACTTTAATGGATTAGCCAATACTACTTTTTAAATTTATTTTTTAATTCAATAAATTTACAAATTTATTATGAGATTTTCTAGCTCCCACAATGCTTCTCACGAAAATCTCCTTTTGCTTATATGATATATTGATAGATAGATAGACATATAGATATGCCTTATTGTATAGATATATTGGAATGTCGATACATATAAAATTATTAAATAGTAAGAATTTTTTTTTATGGAAGATGTGAATTGATTCCTATTTTTAGTAGTACACAAATTTAATTTTTTAAATGGATTAATTAACTTTCATTTTGAAATGTGTAAATTAAAGAATAATAAGATTATTTTTTAAATGATTTAATAAAAGCTAACTAATAGAAGATTTTTTAATTATTCAAAAAATAAGAAATCTTAAAAAATAGTATGAGGGTTTTTAACTTTACAAGGTACTTATCCAAAAAAAACTTTACAAGGTTCTTTTCATTAGAAATCTATTTTTCTTATATAGATATAGATTTTGAATTTAAAACTGAACTAAACTAGATTAAGGTCCTGTTTTAGAAGAGAATAATAAATTAGCAAAAAAGTCCAAAAAAAAAAAAAAAATTTTTTTTTTTAGTTTTTGGGTTTTTTTTTTTTTTTTTTTTTGTAACAATAAAAAAAAAATCACTAAAATCTCAATTCCCATACGAATCCTAAGTCAACAAAATTGAGGTTGATTTATTTTATATCCGCTAGTCTAATTATAATTGTATTAAAACTTTATTTATTCATTAAAATATTTATTATTACTATAATGCAAAAATGATAAACACATTATGTGAAGAGTGTCTGGATAAACACAGTGATAACAATAACTTTGAGACAATATTATTGAAACTTGAAATCGGTTTGGATTTTTATGAATTCACAATGATACCAAACCTTAGCTTAAGACATACAAGCCTTCTAGAATGCGTCACTAAAATAAAGACCAAGCAATCTAAAATTTTGCCACACTATATTTTGCTAAAACATTTAGATCATAAAACCTTTTAAGATTTAATTAAGGAATTAGACTGGCTGAAAATGAGTCGAGAAAGTTGATCCAATTGCTATCATCTTCATCATCTTCCTCTATACCCATATGACTCAATTGATTTTGGGAGCTCTTTCCGACTTCATCGTTTTTAGCAAATCGTCCTCTGATGCGCGGCCTACTATCAGCCAAAGTTTTTCTACATTCATACTGATTCAGGAAAAGAAACAGTTAATACAACTATAAGTCCTAATAAAGTTAAGTGCAAAATAATATGATAGCCCTTAATTGAGCAAACCTTAATCTTCTTGTTGAAGTTTCTTTGGTTTCTCTTGCTTCTATATCTCTCAATTCTCTCCTTTTTCTCCTCTGGGCTATAAGGGTAGGCTTTGCTCATACCTTCTATGATACTAATCTCACTCGATAATGGGCTCAATGAGCTCTCCTCTGATCGGTGGTAATGTTGCCCCACATTAAACCCCTGTTTCAAAAGAAATAAAAAGGCAAGCACAAAAACAAAAAAATAAATATATAAATAAAAAACTTGTTAAAAGGTATCATATAGAAAGAGCATAAAATCCATATAAAAACAACAGTGCAAAAATAAGTCACAAAAGAAACAACAGATCAATTACCCTGCTTGGTAGAGCTGTGAGAAAGTGATTATAACTTATAACTTAACAGCTTATAGCTCATAACTGTGCACATAACCTGATTTCTGACTTATAAGTTTTTCCTGTCCCACTCAAAGAATAAGTTGATCTATATTGTTAAGCTGAATCAAACACATCAAAATAGCTTAAATTAAGCTAAAAGTTAAAATAAGCTGGAAATAAGTCTTACCAAACAGGGCCAATATGCAATTTCATGAGAAATATATTAATAATTTATTTATTTCTATTTATTTATTGTGTGTTTTATTTCTATTTATTTATTTCGGAACTTTTTGACTATATATAACTCATGTTGGAGTGGCACAGGTTATTGGGAGGCTCACACACTTCCTAGTCATATACAAGGGACCCTCCATATGACTACTTATGACTACTTTCATGTTGCCGAGAATATTGTTTGATTTGCATCTACTACAACGTTAATTAATCAAGCAAAAATTAGTGGTCAAGAGAGAATGACCAAGAGAGTTGAGAAAAGGGGGTGAAAAGACCAAGAGAGTTGAGAAAAGGGGAAAAAAAAAAAAAAAAAAGGGTTGAGTTGATATATGGCCTCTCCATCTTAAAGAAGAAAAAACAAAATGAGATTGAGTGATTAGATTATTAATGTGTTAGTGTTGAGTAAAAAATATAAAATAAAATGTGTTTATTTGTATAGTAGTGTGGTGATATTAGTTAGTTGAAATTAAATTTATAAAATTACAAAAAAAATTCTTATTACATGAAAGGTGACATTGTTATTTTTACAAACTGAAGGCAAAATAGTTTTTTACTTCCAATCTCATAGAATTTTTATCAATCTTAACCTTCTCATGGAAATGCTGATCCCATAATTTATAGTGATTCGTAATGTCATTTCTTTTTATCACAATTAAATATGATTTTAGTGATATTCATAAATTATTAATCTAATCTCACCGTATAAAAACTTAAATCAAATATGACTTTAGTACGTTAAAACCATAAATAATGTGATTACTAGTATTATGTAAAACAATATCCAAATGCAATAACTCTCTTCGACTCTATTATTAATGTGAAAGAGATCCGTGAATGTGAATAGAAAGTGTTACGAAAATGATATCATAAAGAAAAAAAATCCTATATTAGGTTGGGATTTTGACTTTATTATGAATATATATATATATATATATATTAAAAAAAGAAGGCGTTACATTTCAAACAAGATATAAGAGAGGCCATTGGATTAAGAAGAGATTTCATCATGAATTCTGATGCAATTACATGAGTTAAACCATATTAGTTCAATTGACCTCTTTTTTTAACATTTTCAACTGTGTGAAGTCAAATAAATGAGACCATTTTGATTTAATAGTTGTATAGTATTACTTTTTCTTTTGATAAGAGATTAAAAGTAAATTTTTTTTTTTAAACTTTTAATCTCTTTTGGGTCATATCATCTCTTTATTTTTTTTTACATATTTTCAAAAAAAAAAAAAATTTAAAAATTAAAAATTAACTTTTAACCTACTTCATAAAACGACTTTTTGTGTATAAAGTTGTGGGTTAAACTGGAATAATTTAGTGATTATGTAATCCTTTATGGATAATTTTTTTTGTGTGGGTATTTAGTGATATTTGATACATTAAAAAATGAAAATTAAAAATATAAATAAATATATTTGGTCTAACTATTAACCACTGCAACTATTCTTATCTCTACCTCATCCCCACTAATGAGTAATGATTCATCCCCCTTTTCCCCCCCCCCCCTTTGACCCCCTCTCTCTCTCATTGGTTTCCTTTTCTTTTTCTTTTTTTTTTTTTTCCTGCTCCTCCAATCACCCCTGCCACGTGGCAAAGGGGGGTGAGGGGTGACCCCCAACATTTGTTGGGCTCTCGGCCATCCATATTTGGTCGGTCGGCAGTATAGATGGCCGGCCAGCCAAAGCTTCCTGGCACCGCAGCGTACTGTAAAAAAAAAATACTTTCTATTAAAACAAAAAAGCCATAATTAATTAGTACCTTTTTTTTTTTTTCTTTTTTTTTTTTTTTCTTTTAGACTATTGTTTTGAACAAATTGGCCTTGTTTTGCAATCAACTTTTTGGCTAAAAAATACAAAAATATAAAATAGGTTAAATAAGTCAATAAAATAAAATATCATATATAAATTATAATCATTTCATTTTTTCTTGCCAAACACCTTCTTTTAATCCAAAGTTAAAATAACCAAAAAAATTAAAAGGTCAACTAAAAAAGTCTATTGTCAAACCACCGCTTAGGATTGTTTTGAAAAGTTAGTTAAAAGTTAATTTATATTTTTTTTTGAAAAAAAAAATGTATAAAAACATAAAAAAAATATAATAATACGACCTAAAAATAAATTAAAAATCAAAATTTATGTTTTAGTCATCTTTCTAAAAGCCCTCAGCAAGGTGAGCAACAAAGGAGATTTAGAAAAGCTGACCTGCAAGTCACCGGCACTGAACACCCTCCTCACCTGACTAGTCTCCCAGTCCAATAGGTCCGCCGCTGGCAGCACCTGGCGAACTCCATTACTATTGTTCTTGCGAAGCGACTGAGTGCTGACACTCCTCTGCATCAAACTCTGTCTCGGTGTGAGACCCGAGTAACAACCGTTGGTACCCGAACTCCCAGACCCGTAGCTACTGCATCCACTGCTCATATATCCCACCTCCGACTTCAATGTCGGCGCCACCGTCTCTGTTGCTGCGTCTAAGTAACCGTTGGCCGTCACGTCGAGTAGAGGGAAATTGGCGGCGCAGTCGGGTGAGGTGGTGTAACCGAATAGTGAATGGGTATTATTGTTTGGTCCGTACATATCGCGTTGATTGAGATTCTGGTTGAAGAGAATTTGAAGAATGAAGGAGAGACACGTCTGGTTTATAAAATTGGTTTCTCCTTAAAAGAGGAAGGAGATTTTATTATTTTTATTTTTATTTTTTCAACTAAACAATAGAGAAAGGAGATTGACGAACTGGGAGATGACGGTGTACGTGACGTCACTTGTGAAGGCGTTGACCTGGTCCTACCACCACAACTGCTAAGGAAAAGTATAGAATAAGGGTAAATTACATTGACACTCCCCAAATTTATTTTTATTACAGTTTTTTTTCTTAGTTTTTGGAAATTATATCTCGTTTTTGAGGTTTAAAGTTTCATTACAGATTGCCCTCTGAGGTTTAAAGTTTCATAACAGTTTTCCCTTCACCATAATATTCATTATATATAAAATTAAATTAACAGGGAGCCAGTGTAATTTCCTAAATGTGAAAGGGTGAACTGTAATAAATATAAATTTCATGGGATGTCGTGTAATTTACCCATAAAATAAAATAAAAATTGTACAAATTAATAAAATTTGTCAAATTACACCCATGTCCTTATCATTTCTGCTTTATATTAATTTTATTGTTATATTTTTAATTATATTAATTTATATAATAATTTCTTTATGAAATTAATGGATTACGGGGAAAAAAATATTAAATATAATTATACTAAATTTATGAGTTTTTAATATATATATATATATATAATATCAAAAAGAGGTTATTTAAGGTTGTTTTGAGAAATATTCAGTGTGTTTAGTTTTATTTTTTTAAAATTGAGTTTTTTTATTTTTGTATTTTTTATTTTATTGAGTATTTTAAAATTTTAGACAATTTTTTAAAAATATTTTTTTAGATGCACATTATGTAGATGTATCTAAATAGTAAAATATTTTTATAAATTTTTAAAAAAAATTAATAAATATACAAAAATACAAAAAAATGTATTGAATTTATATATATATATATATATATTTTTGATATTTTTGGTATTTAGTGAATTGTTAAAAGATTTTTTTCACAAATAGTATATTTTTTTAAGTGTATTTATGTTAGATGCGTCTAAAAATTAAAAAAAAAATGCTTAAAATATTAAAAAAATTCAGTGAAAACAAAAAAATATTGAAAACGAAAAAGTAAAATTTTCTAAAAAGTGAATTTTAAAAACTAAAACTAAACAGAGTGATTTATTTTAGTAGTTTTTGATTTTTCACAAAAAAATATATAAAAAATTAGATAGAATAGTTGATTTTTTGTAAGGGAAAAAAGCAATGAACTCTTATTTTATGAACAGGCAAGCCCTTGTTAGAAAATAGTTTGTAGAACGGACCCACGAAACACACTTTAATTTTGAATTGACAACCAACTTGCACTTATAGTTCAAAAAAAAAAAAAAAAACCAACTTACTTTCGCAACAGTATAAAGGTCGACCTCACAACAGTATAAAGGTCGACCCCACCACTTGGTTTCAAAAGAGGAGAGAAAAGAGGCAATGGAGAAAATAAAAGATCAATTTTATATATATCCCCATGTGAGTAGCATATAATTCTAATCATTTGTATTAGGTTTTAGGATAATCTAATTCTAATCATTTGTATTAGGTTTTAGGATAATCATCCTTAGAATGACACATGCTGGCCCAAAGTCGAATATGGATGTTTTAATCCCAATAAAATAATGCTTAAGTAACATATCAAATGTGCCGTTAAACATTTAGTGGTCATTTGGAAAGTGATTAAAAAAAAAAAAAAAATAGTTTTTAGTTTTTTATCTATTTTGAATTAAATCATTTCTCATATTTTTTACTCACAAAAAGATAAAATAGACTAAAAAAAAGCCAAAAATTAACTTTTTACTAACTTTTCAAAACGCCACTTAATTTTAAAAAAAAATTGAATTGACTTGTGAGTGGCATTATCTTAAAATAAATTTATTTATCGATCAAAATGATATGACATGTTTAGTATTGTATGTTAGTATAATATAAAACATCATTATAGCAGTTAATTTAAAAATTGAGAACAATCGGAAGGAAATCTAAAATTCTACTAGGGAGGAAGCCTTCGAGCTTGTTTGGTTTGTTTTTGGGAAAATTGTTTTTGAAAATTTTTTTGGAGAGAGAGTTTAAATTTTTTTTTTCTTTGTTTGGTTGTATATTTTGAAAGTAGTTTTGTAATTTGGGAGTTTGAGATGATTTGATATTTTGTTATAATTGAGTAAATGTGTTTGAGAGAAAAAGTGATTGAGAAGGAGAGAGGAGAGAGAAAAAATGATTGATTGATGTGTAAGAGAGAGAAAGTGATTTTGAAAATTTTTTGAGAAAAATCTAAAACCAAACAATTTTTTAAATTTTTTTTCCTAAAACTCATATCTAAAACTCAAACCAAACATACCCTTCATGTCTTAGTCACCAAGATAACTGAACCTCTCGTAAATTTAATTATTTTTTATTAGACAAATATTTACATGATCAATTGTGAGAAATTTGCACAAACTTCTGATTATTCAATTCAGTTTAGACTTAAAATAATGAGTTTAATTAAAGGTTAATAATTTGATCAAAAGTATATTCCCCAGATTTAAAATATAAATTACAATATATAAGAGTTTTAGAGATCAAATTTTTTGATTTCTAAAAGTGAAATTTTTTTTGCGAAAGACATTTTGGGACCAATTTCTATTGTCGTGAGAATAGCCGTTAAAAGGTCGTTTTGGAAAGTAAAAAATAAGGCTTTTAGCGACAAATTTTCGAAAATGTCACTAATAGACAAAATAATTTGGTGTTAAAATGATTTATTTTTTAAAACAAAAAAATTGATCCCAGAATGATAATAATTCATTACTAATGTCTAATTTTCATTGCTAAAAATATAATGATGATACTTTTCACAATAAAAACATTTGATCCTTTAAAAATAATTTTATTCTTAAATTTTGATCTCTAATTTTTTTTTTTTTTTTTTTTTAGTGATATATGTTAATGGACTCAATGTGTTAATACAATGATGAATTCATTGAAAAATCTCCAAACACAAAAACAAAAGTATGCATAGCCGTGAGAGAGTGGGGACGTCCTACATAGCATCTTCTAAGAAAGCGTGGGTCCAAAATGAGAATCATCTACATGACTTCAAAAGGGGTATCTTTCTATCTTTGGGAGAGAGAGAGAATGAAATGATGATGAATTAGACTTTTCTTTCTCCCTGTGCATGTCCACTGCACATACTAAACAAAGAGTACCTGTCGTTTCGTTCCTTGGTTGGTCAATTGCCAAAAGGAAAATAATTTAAAGTCCAATCACAAGAACTAATAACTCAGCTAGCTACTCATTCAATCACTTATAAACGCACTTGACAATTTGAAACTGACTTGAGGGTGACTTGGCTCTCCGATTTCAAATTAAATAGTTATTTATTGAAAAATATTTTCGATAGGTCGGGGATAGTATTTAAAAGTTTATTCCTGATGATATCCGGACCGGGGACGGGGATAGGTGTTTCAGACCCAGACCCAGCCCCGGCCCGGCCCGGCCCCGCTTAATCCCCAAGATGAAATTACCGTTTTGTCCCTGCATATATATATGCTTGTGTTTGTCTAGGGTTTGAGACACACACACTCAGACACTCTCAGCCTCTCACTCACACAGCACTTTGGCTTTGCTGCTCCGTTCGGTCCTATCTCTCGCTCGCCACTCTCTCTCTCTCGCTCGCCACCACTGGTTTGGTCTCCCCCTCTCTCTTTCTCTCACCGCCGCGCCTCTCTCCTTACCAGCGATCCTCCGTCGCCATCGATCCTCCCTTACCGCCTCACCTCTGTCGTTCCTCTATCGCTTCCTCACCGTTACTGCTTTCTCTCCCTCACCATCGCTACTCCGTCACCGCCAACCTCCCTCACCGCCGCTACTCTTACTGTTTAGGTATATCTCTCTCTCTAGGGATTTCATTCTAGGGTTTAACCCCTATTTTTTTTTCCTTCGAAATTTATATATCTATTTATTTTATCTATAGATCTGTTTATTGATCTGTTTATTGGTCAAGATTAGTTTTTTTTTGCTCTGATTCATGTATATCTTGTTGATATGTTGATCTGATATAATATATACATATATGTTGATCTGTTGATATGTATATTAGTTATTTTTATTTTTATTTTTATTTATTTGTTTTGGTATATTGGGAGAATTAAATAAAGTAATTGGGAGCATGAGAAAGTGGCTTTGAAATGAAGATGATGTGCTTTCCGAAATTGGTATGTATGTGCAGTGTATTTTAGGGGATGTTGGATTACATTAACAAAACCTTACTGAAAATTGAGATTTAGGCTCCCTTTGGATGAGTGAATTTCAAATTAATGGACTTGGGATTGAATTTTATAAAATTATAAGAAGATATCTTATTGAAGATAGATTGATAACTTTAAAGTAGAGGATTAATAGAAGTATGAGACTTGTAATTGTTGTACAAGTAGAATTTTTGTGGTAGGATTTCACATCACTATTTTTGCAAGTTATTTGAAACCATCATTATAAAGCTCAAATTTATTCTTGACATCTAAATCTAAAAAAAATTTAGAGCATTTCTAACCCTTTACTATTTTTTCTCATCAAAAGTTGTGTATTTTTATTTATTTACAACAGTTAGTTCTATTGCATGCTTTAGTGGTTCAGTTTAGATACCTGCTTTTAAAGAAAAAGAAATTGAATGTCAAAGCTTATGAGCTCTCCAATAAGTACAGACTACCTCTTGATTTGAAAATATAAAGTTTGTTTAAAGCAACATGGGCACTGACAAACTTCTCACTGCACTGCACTAAACTAAACAATCTAAGTGGCATAATGAAATATGTTTCCTTTCATAATATCTCTAACTAATCAAGTTTGTTCAACACTTTGTTGCTGAATTTGTGAATATTATTTATTTTTATTCACAGTTAAACGTTCAAGGAATTCAAGTCACTGAATAATTTCTTGGAATTATCTGCTTTTGAGAGATAATTAAGAGTAACTTTAACTTTAGTATGTTGGCTTAAAAAGACTCGAGAATTGATAAGAGTTACAGTGATTGTTTATT